GCCATCGCACGGGGCTACCACCTCCTATAAACACCCTGTTAGCTAGGTGTATCATGGTGCGGCAAGGGCTAACAGAACTGTCATTAGCAACTAGTGTTCTGTATAAAGTCCCTTTTTAAAACCATTTTCAAACATGCGAGAAAATCATCACTTTCAAGATATAGTTCTCATTCTCAAAATCAAACTCGCATGAATACTTTTAAGCATTAAAACTTGCCAAAATAAAATTTCATATCCAATGCTCATACTTGCATTTATTAAATAATCAAAAATTTCCAATGCTAATGAAAAGAAATTTTATTAATCCTGAAAGGATATCTCATAAGGGGTAAAACATTCATATGCTATGATGAATCGTTTTTCACCACCATCTTAAAACTTAAAAATGAAGAAATTTAATTAACAAAGTATCCACTAATCAACATAATTATTATTAAAATAATCAATGTAACAAAATAAATTTTAATAAGAAAAATTAATTGATAAATTAGTTGTGACGCTATCCACTTACCTGTAGTATCTAAAATTCAATTCTTACAACTTCAACCAAATTTTTTCTTGTTCCAAACACCCTACAAAAATAATAGAGTCTAAATAACCTTTCAGTAAGTTCAATAAATCATTTCCCAACACTAACACAACCAATATTCAATCCAAGTAATTTAGAATTTCCAACATCATCATTTATTTCTCAAAGTTTCCCCATGACTAATTACTAATCAAGAGTATGTGTCACTCCACCAGCAAATACTCTGTCAGTCTACAACTCTTCAATTATTCACTTTATGGAATACCTTAGGTACATCCTAAGAATGAATGAATTCATAAATAACAATTTGATTCTTAAATTACTAACTCAAATATATATTCTAAAAGGCTCTAAATTCTACTTTAACTATTATTGCAAAGAACAAACATCTTCCATAATTATTTAGTCAATAATGACATAACAATTACAAAATATTTTGTCAAACACCATTTATTTTGCACAATGTTTAGGCCGTATGACTAAGTTCTTTTTTTCTTTACAATTCCCTTTCCAAAAGTTGTCCTATATCCATATTTGAACTAATCAAACTTCTAACTTCTATAAAAGAGAGGAATGATCTAAAGACAGTTTACTTAACTAACAATATAACCATCACATATATATTGTTATCATATGCCAACTTTTCTTTACAGGCATTTCATTGAACACCTCGTAAGCATTAATCCTCCATCTATAATTCGAATCCAGTTTCTCCTTAAATTCATTCTAATTGCGTCCAATAAAATTTTAAATTAAAAATATCAGCTAAACTCCTATCGTCTTACATTAACCAAGTGCTTAAACAAATACTCAAAGCTTGATTAGGACTTCAACAAGGGAAGAAATCAAAGTCACTTTAGACAACACAGAACAACACACATACAACACACATACATGGTCGAGAAATAGAGGGAGAAAAGTGGATTCAACTCACCAAATCAATCGAAGAAATGAAGAGAAGAGCTTGAAGCTCCAGCACACCAGATCCGTGATTTCAAAAAAAAACAGGGTAGAGATGGAGATGCTGTCATGTAATGCTGGAGAAGAAGGAGGGAGAAGGTCGATGGTACAGTAAGGGAGAAAGGAGTCTGACACACACTCAGTCACACCAGAACGACAACCCACTTGCGTGCTACTCTAACTCAGTAAAGAAAGAGTGGAACCTGATGGCTAAATAGGGGAAGGTGACAGTGGTGACGTGAAGCATGGAAGGAAGAATTTCGATGCCCCCACAGCCATAGCCACACCCACGAATGTAGCAACAACTTGAAGCAAGAAGAAGGGAAGCCGTCGCATAAACAGAGAAGAGCAAGGAAGAAAAAGAACAGTCGACGATACGGATGAAGAACGGACGAACGAGTTAGGCAAAGATTACCAATAGTGAATGCTGTGAAACAAGACAGAGAAGACGATGCATGGACCCTTAGCATCAATCGATCATGGTGATCGCATACCCAAGTCGGTGGACTTGCTGGAATGGAGAAGGACAGAGATGAAAGTTTCTAGAATTCTCTCCCTCTCTCTCATAGGTTCTATCGTTAAAATGACAAAGGATGAAGAAAAATTTGACTTAAAAAGGGAGGATTGAGAAAATTACAAAAATGAACCTAATTTTTTTTAATATTATAACATAAGAGGCAAGGCCTTTTTTTTTTTGGAAATTTTTTCATAACCATGATAAAATAAAATTAGCCTATTACTTAAGAGAATTTGAACTTTGAATCTTCCAGTAAGTTGCCAGCTTAAGTTCCAATAAATAACCACCATCTACTTGTTAAATTAGAACAATTAAATAAAATATCAATTAGAAGAGAAATTTATTTAATTTAAAATTTATAGTCATTACATCTTTCTAATATGTGCCTAGTCTACGAAGGTGAGATTGAAACTCTCAAGCATCTTTTTTTCCAATGCCCATGGACTCGTTTTGTCTGGTTTGGTAGTAATCTGCCTTTTGCTAGTGACACTTTCAACAATATTATTTTCAGTCAGTGGTGGTCTTCTATTTCCTCTCCGACTAGTGGCCTATCTGAATTTGATCTTAGTAAAACTTTGCTGGATGTTGTGGTTGCTATGGAAATCCTGTAATGATAAAGTCTTTAACTTTAATGACCCAAACACATGTAATGTTATTGCTGATGCTACACGTGCTATTTTAGAATTTTGGGAGATGACTACTTGTTCACAGCATAACAAACCAGTAGCCACAAACAGTTTACGTGTGCATCATTGGTATATTCCTCCCGACAGTTTTTTGAAAATTAACTGTGACGGTGCCTACAATCGAACTAAGAATACTGCCACTATTGCTTTGATATGTCAAAATGATTCTGGTTCCTTTGTTTGGGCTTTTTCTGATAAAGTCAAGTCCATCTCTGCTTTTATGACTGAGGCATTAGCATTAAAAAGGGCACTTTTATTGGCTAGGGACTTGAGCTATGATAAGGTAATATTTGAAAGTGATTGCCTCACGCTTGCTAATTGCATTACTAAAGGCCAAACAGATTTTGGAGATTGGCAGTGCATTAGCATTGTGGATGACATTATAACGCTCATGGCACCAATAGCTGGGTTCTCTCTCTCCTTTGTATCACGCAAGGGTAATAGTGCGGCTGATTTCTTGGCTGCTGTTGCTGTTAAGGAAGTGGGTCCGATTGGATGGGTGAAAACACCACCACCTCCTTTGTCTCTCTCACTAGCTGAGGATGTCAAGACTTCTGTTCTGGATTCTGCCCAAGGTGTAGCTGACCATGATCGAAATGGAGTTGGCTAGCTCTTTCTCAGTTGCTGTTGCTGTGTGTTTTTTGTTTCTTCTACTGCTTTCTGTTTTCTTTTTTGACTTGCGTTTGTTGCATTTTGTTCTTTTTTTTTTTTTTTTTGGTTACCTCTGGTTGCTGCTGTTTTGCTTCTTTGGTTTTTGACTTTTGTATTGTTGCTGGTTTCTGATTTATGGAATAGTTCTTTCCTTTGGCCAAAAAAAAAAAACAAAGATTTCTCCATACATGTGTAGGAATTTACAATTGAAATTCTCAAATTAATTTACTTAATAAGTATTTATATTTGATAATGTTAGATGTTTATAAATATTTTCAAGGAAATTTATTTATGAGAATTTACATAAGTATTCTTTAGAAAATCCACGTTAAATGTTCAATTTTTTTATGTGAAAAAAATCAAAACCGTATCAGTTATTCGGCACCTTTCTTTGATAAATTTATTTGGATCACTATAAATTGGGAAAATGAAATTTAAGGCTGTACCAAGAGAATTTATCACAATAAAAGCCCATCAATTTTGTATTTGATATTGTCTTGTGAAAACACATATAAGTTGTTATAAGTTTAACCTTAACTTGTATTTTTTTTTAGGGGTTCCTTATAAATTTAACAAGTTAAGGTTCATCTTTTAATAGCAACATACTCGTGCTTTTACAAGACAATATTCAATGTAAAATTGATGTACCTTTATTGTAATAAATTCCCTTGAGATGGTCTTGAATGTCATTTTTCCTTTTAAATTCAACCAATCTTCTAAGCCAACCAAAGTCAAATTGGAATCAATTTGTTAATTTTTAACCGTCTTGCAGCTATTAATGATATTGGCTAGGTCTGATTACATTAAAGAGGCAGGTACTAATGACTTGAGGTTACAAGCAGGGTTGAGTCTGTAGCCTCATACTTACATGGGAGCTTACATGTCATTAGACAATAAATGATTATATTTATAGTATGTCATATAAATCATCAATTAGCAAGTCTTACAATAAAATGATTGCTCTTGAATATTCTTTCATTGTCTTGGAAGAGTAATGAGGAATTTCTCTTAAAGGTAAAGGTTGCTTGTATTGAAAGTTGAATAAATATTTACTTGGTTTCGTTAAAAAATTAATGATTGTTGCAAAACTTTCTCATAAAATAATAATTAAACTTAAATAGATACTCTCCTCTCCAAAATGTATTGTACTTATTAAGTAAATTTATTTATGAGAATTTCAATAATTTGTCTATCGAAAATCCTATAAAGTCCAACACACGTATGGAGAAATCTATGGATATTCAACAAAAATCTTTGGTAGAGTTTAGATTGATATATTTTAATTCTTATTTTAGATTTAAATTTTCACATTTAAAATATGTGTATTTAAAATTCTTTGTTTAAATAGTATAAAAAATTTTAAACGTAGATGAAGGACGAGGTAAGATTTGAAATAGAGATGAAAAATAATATATAATTATGTGTCCCTTTTATATAGTTAATTATTAAGTTTTCACATGACTGTTGTTGTCTGTTAGTCAACACGCCTAGAGACCAAGTACTTTGGTGGGTCCAGCCAAAACTTGAGTGGGGATGATTTTATATACTGTTATGTGAAAATTTTACTTAAAGCCCTTCTAACATTATAAATACCAATTATTTTGTGAAGGGAAGCATATATTCCCAACATTAGCCTACTAAATTGAAGAAACTTATCATGGCTTTTTGCGACAATGCTGCAGTGTTCATTTTGATTTTCTTACTCACCTTACTGCTAAATCCTTGCAAAGCATTTGATCAAGTTCTTTGCATTCCTAATGAGCGACAAGCCCTTCTTACTTTCAAGCAACATCTTCTTGATCCTTCAAACAGGCTTGCCTCCTGGTCTAGTAACACAAATTGTTGCAATTGGACATCAATTGTTTGCGATCATGTAACAGGTCATATTCTCAGGCTTGATCTCAAAACTTCAATCCCCTCCTCAAATTGGAACTCAGAATATGATTCTTATGACAGATCAAGGTTGGGTGGTGAAATACATCTTTCAATACTTGATTTGAAAAGTCTAAGTTACTTGGATTTGAGTGGCAACTATTTTGAAGGTATGTATAAAATTCCATGTTTTCTTTTCTCAATGAAGAGCTTGACATATCTCAACCTCTCTAATGTGGGATTCAATGGAAAAATTCCTTACCAAATAGGAAATCTCTCCAATTTACTCTCTCTTGACCTTGGAGGTAATTTTTTTACTGGAAACATTCCCCATCAAATTGGGAATCTATCAAAATTAGTCTATCTTGGTCTCTCTTCTGGTGATTATCAATTTGAGATGGATGGGATATCATTATATGCAAAAAATCTTAAATGGATGTCACCTCTTTCTTCACTACAATATCTCCAGTTGAGATCAGTTAATATGTCAAATGCATTTGATTGGTTGCTTATTTTGCGATCCCTTCCCTCATTGACAGAGTTACACTTGCCAAGTTGTACTCTTTCTCATCATTTTCATCAAACCATTACCATTAACTTTTCATCTCTTGCAATACTTGATCTTTCCTATTCTTTTGAGTCCATAGCTCCTTCCATTCCAAAGTGGATTTTTCAACTAAAAAACTTGGTTTCTCTTCAATTAAATGGTAATTATTTTCAAGGCTCCATACCAGATGGTATTCAAAACCTCACTCTCATTAAAGATCTTGATTTATCTTATAATTTATTTAATTCTTCTATCCCTGATTGGTTATATAGTTTGAACAATCTCAAGACTCTTAGTCTCTCTTGGAATAATTTGCATGGATCAATTTCTCTGGGGATTGGAAACTTGACTTCTATGGTTACTCTTGATTTGTCAAATAATCAGTTGGAAGGGCAATTCCAAGCTCTATAAGCAATCTTTGTAACCTAAGAAGTGTTTCTTTCTCTAACAAAAATTGCAATCAACAAGTTTTTGAAATATTGGAAATATTTTTGAGATGTGCTTCAAACACACTAGAGACCTTGTCTTTGACTAGTTCACAAATTTGCGGTCATTTGACACCCCAAATTGGGATTTTCAAAAATCTTGTTGAACTTGATCTTTCTCACAATTCTATTCATGGTTCAATTCCTATATCTTTACAAAATCTTACCTCTTTGAATTGTCTTGGTCTTTCTAGAAATCAATTTGATGGTAATCCTTTTGATGCTATGCAATTGCTTTCTGAATTAACAAGAGTTGATGTAAGTGATAATCTTTTTCATGGAGTTGTAAATGAATATCACCTTGCTAATTTCACTAAACTAATGTCATTAGATGCATCAGAAAAAAACCTCATCTTAAAAGTGGGTTCCAATTGGAAGCCTTCTTTCTAACAGTTGGAAAGCTTGTCCATGAGGTCATGGCATTTAGTAGAGCCGGGAATAAGAGCCGGGCCTGGAGGGCCGGGCCTGAAAGCCCTGTTTAAATAAGGGTTCGGGTTTTAAAAATAATTTTTTTTAAAGTAATCGGGCTTGAGGACTTAGCCCTGATAAGCCCTGTAAAATAAGGCTCGGGCCCGGGCTGCCCTTCAAGCCCTGTTATATTATTTTTATTAGTAAAACACGTATTTGAAATCAATGACCTACTCACCTGATCCTACATATATTATATTATTATTAATTTTAATTTATTTTAAAATTAATTTAATATAATTTAATAAATATCAGTGTATAGTATAAAATTTATGATATTTTTTATTTTTCTATAATTATTATGTTTGTATATTTATAAAAAAAATGAACTATTTTTTAAATGAAGATTTAAATTTTATTACTAGACTTCTAATATATATTATTTAATTTCTAAAAAATTATGATGATTTTAATTTTTTTTAATTTTAAAATATTTTAATTTATTTATAATGTTTAATTTTATTTTAATTTTTTTATTTTTTAAAAAAGGCTTACGGGCCTGACCTTGAGCCCTGAGTATAAGGGCTGGGCTTGAAAAATGAGGGTCAAAATGGGAAACCGGGCTTTAGGGCTAAGGCCCTTAAGGGCCGGGCCCGCCCGTATTCCCAGCTCTAACATTTAGGCCCCCACTTTCCATCATGGATACAATCATTGAAGTATCTTGCTAGTTTGTCCATATCTAACAACAACATCTCTGATTACATCCCCACATGGGTTCGGTATGCATTTCCCAATGCTTTGTCTTTTGATTTCTCTCACAATGATATCCATGGAGAGCTTTCTGATACAATTAAGTATCCCATCAATGTCTTTGAGATTGATCTAAGCTCAAATCACTTAAGTGGTGCTTTACCATGCATATCACCTTATGTGAATCACATAGACCTCTCAAATAATTTGTTTTCTGGATCCATAGGCTCCTTGTTATTCCAAAAAATAGAAGAGCCAATGCAATTAATATATCTAAATTTAGCATCAAATAATTTATCTGGTGAAATACCAGATTTTTGGAAGATGTATTCAAATCTAATGGTTATCAAGTTTGATAACAATCATTTCAGGGGAAATTTGCCCACATCCATGGGATCCTTACATTGGTTGATTTCATTACAACTTCGCAATAACACATTTTCAGGAGATTTTCCTCTTTGCTTGAAGAATAGTAATAAATTGGTATTCTTGGATTTTAGAGAGAATCAATTTTCAAGAATCATTCCACCGTGGGTTGGAGACACTCTTTTAAATTTGAAGGTGTTTCTCCTTACATCAAACAAATTCAGTGGTAAGATTCCATGTCAAATGTATTCTTTGAGTTCTCTCCATATCTTGGATCTTGCACAAAACAACTTGACAGGACCATTACCAAAATGCATCAATCACTTGAGTTTTATGGTAGTAAAGAATACCACTTTAGAATCTAACATGTATGGCGAAGGAAATGGAGCCATTGTTCCCATAACCAATGCGCTTCTTGAGTTGAAAGGAAGAGATGATGTATATTGGACGCTGGGCCTCATCACAAGCATAGACCTTTCTAATAACAAATTATTTGGCGAGATACCGAGAGAGATTACAACTCTTAAGGGGTTGCATTTTTTAAACTTGTCCAACAATCTTTTGAGTGGTGAAATTCCTCAAAGTATTGGCAACATGGGATCCTTGGAGTCAATGGACTTATCCAAAAATCAACTTTATGGTGAAATCCCGTTAAGCATGTCCAATTTGAATTTCTTAAGCAAGTTGAACTTGTCTTTCAACAATTTGAGGGGGAAAATTCCAATGGGAACTCAATTGCAGAGCTTTGAAGCGTCTTGTTTTGTGGGCAATGATCTCTGTGGGCCTCCACTACCAAACAATTGCACTGATTTGTACAGTCCCCTGAACCATGACAAAAATGACAAAGAAGCTAAAAGAAATGAGATCAATTGGTTTTTTTGTGAGCATGTCATTGGAATTTGTTTCAGGATTTTGGGCAATAATTGATCCTTTGCTCTATAGTAGATCATGGAGGTATACTTATTTTCAGTTCCTAGAATGCATGTGGTACAAACTTCGATATTGTTGGTGTTAAGAAAAATATTACTTTTTATGTTTGTAGTTAATATGCTTTATAAGCATTTTGTATGTCGTTGCTTGTGTTTACTGTTGAATCATTCCTGAGCTTTTGGGCAGTACATGGACTATCTTTGCCAATGTATTGGAATACTGAATGAAATGTCTCCAATTTGTAGCTACTTGGCAGAATTGAGAATCATAACGTTTGCCCAGAAGAAAAATAAATAAATAAATAAAAGAAACCGAAATAAGGAATGTTGATTAGTATAGTTCCTAATAATTTTCTCATCACTTATAGCCTTCTTTATGCTGATATTTGATGTCCCAGAAATTTAACGTTGGACATAGATGGTCAATCCATTAACTTTCACCTTATTCTTTTTGTATTTTGAACAAAACAGGGAAAAAAGAAGGACTTATGCAAGAAAATGTAAGAGAAACTGAATTTCACCTTTCATTTAAAACAAAAACATAATCAGTCAATCCCACAATACCAAAGTAACGAAGTATATATGATTTAAAAAAACAAAAACCCCCAAATATATGACCTTTCGAACTAACGCCCCATTTTATAACTCAACATTCCTCAGGTGGGTTGAACCCCAAATGAAATGAGGTGTGCCAACCATAAATCCTGGCACATCACAGGAGTATATTTAATTTTTTTCCCCCTGTTTTCATGGAGTTGACTTTTTTCATTATTGTGGAGTCTTTTTTCGTTATCTCATTTGGATCAACAAATTTTACTTAAAAATTCAAATTAATTAATTAATTTAAATTTTTTTATGGGTTTATATATATATATATATATATTTCATTTTTATAGTTGCTTTTCTGATTACTTTAAAAACTTTTCCTTTTTTTTATCTTTTAATTTTATTGAAAACTTTCAAATAATTTCTCAACTTATATTTTATCAAAATAATCTATGCCATCACATCCAGATCTTAATTTTTCATGTGTTATAAATATTAAAATATTGTATGGATGTCTCTATTATTTCATTATATCTCCTATTATCATCAATTTATATATTCTTTTTAGGATTTGAGTTGTATATATAACTTTGCTGCATCTCAACAACAACAAAAGAAAGCTCTTTATTCTATCGTTCTCTTTTTCTCTCCTTCTAGGTTTCTCTCTTCTCTTCTTTTCTCAAACTCTATTATTTATAACAATATGTGTAATGTTTTATTTTTCGTTTAATCTTTTTTCGTCAAAGGAGGGAGAAGTGGCGATAAGAGTTATTCAATTGGCCCCAACAGAAGTAAGGGACGGAGGTCCATATAGCAAAAGAAGAGGTAAAACGGCCTGCATCATAAAAGTTAGGCTGAGAGTCAATGGGCTTCTCAGAAATGGAAAATACTTTTCATCAAATAAAACATTTCTAAAGGGTGATTTGATAGTGAATATGAAGCAGAAAAATGGGCTGCCTTGAAGGGCTAAAGAATTGCATGGAACATGGGCTTCAGTAAGATCATATTTTTTGGAATCCAATTTTAAGATGTTAGTAGACCAACGTGGCCGTTGAATCTAACAGAAATGGCTTGTCTCTTACAATGTAGCGAACAAATGTTCAAATTCTTAATAGAAGAAGTATCTATATTTAGTATTTAACTATATTTAAACAGGATTACTTCAAATAGAAGGGCATATGTAAACAATTAAAAAAATGTTAGTTGAAAACTTGAACAAGGATAGGAATGTGCAGAGCTGAAGCCTGGTGCTTCTTCAAGCCAAAAGCGTCAATGGAATTGCAAAGTCAACATGCATGTCTCTCGCGAGCAAAACAGTGTTGCTGATAGTCTAGCTAAAGGTGGAATCTAGCAATCTATTACGTATGATATGACTTGTCAATTCTTGAGAGTCCTAGCTAGTGCTATATATTTATGAGAATTTTAATAATTTGTCTTGAAGAAAATCTGATAAATTCCAACATGCCAGAGAGAAACCCATTGAATCCAACAAAGACGTTGGGGAAGATTGAAGGACCACAGAAAACATCGTGATAATTCACTCAATTGTTTTCCTATGAAATAACAATGAGTCTATCATTAAAAAAAATGGTTATGCAAAAATATTGATTTTATTATATTCATTTAAATCTTCTCCTTATTCCAAAATATTTTCATTAAATTTTTCTAGGTTAAATTGTACTTTTGGTCCTCTAAGTTATACAAGGTTTCCGTTTAGTCTTTTAATTTTATAAAATATATTTTCAGTCCTCTAATTTTATTCTAACTTTAACACTATTAGTTCTAAATGATTATTTTTGTGCGCCAATCATTGTTATTTAAAGAAAATTAAACTTAATATTTCAACACTTGAGAATATTTTGTCAATATTAAAAAGTTTAACAGAATTTTTGTTGTTGTTGATGAAGCAAATGATATTAGGATCAAATGATTGAAAAGACATTTCATAAAATTAAGTAACTAATATAAAATATTGTGTAAAATTAAAGGATTAAAAATGCTTTAACCTATTGGTTTTTGTAATTTTAACAAAACTGAAGAAAAATAAAATGATTTTCTAAACAAAATTGATGTTGGTATATGGTCACATGATAATCACAAATAGAAAAGAAGACTTATATGAGGTGAAGACTTTAAAAAGATTGATGTTGTGAAATAAAAATTAAACCAAAAAATTAACTTATTTAGTTATTACTTACTCTAAAACTAATGTTGTAAGCAAGAAATTTAGAAGCAAATACTCCAACAGAGTAACTTTTAGAAGTCCCTCGTGTAGAATGGGCAGTATCATTCCATTCTATGGCAGTGTTTAGATATCATTGATCTTGTAATATCAAATTTGCTTTGCTCAAATTCACCGTTACCTTCTCTCTATCGTTTCCCCACCCAAAAAAAAAAATCGTATGATTATTACAAAAATGTGACTCAACGAACAATTAAAAAACAATTATCTTAACTAAAGAATGGATAATGAACCTGTAAATCCCAGAATCAATAATGATGAGGGTTTTATTATGCCTCGCTTCTGGAGCTTTTCCCACATCCTTTTAAGCTTATCGTCAAAATAAGGCTCACGTTGTAGTCCAAAATGATATGAGAGTTCCATGTAATCTTTGTCACATTTTCCCTCGGGAATCTTCTCAACTCTTGTTATTTAGAGACAAAGATTAATCGTGAGCACACAGATTTGTAATTATATGTGCATGTAAGGATTTTTCTGACGCAGGATTGAAGTGGGAGGTAATTTTTTTTTTTTTTTGGGGATGATGAAAAAAGAGTTGCGTTTTGAAAGTTAACTTGGAGTGAAAAATATATGTAATATTTCATCTTTTTATATTATAGACTTTTTTTTATATTCTATATATTATAAACTTTATTATAAATACAACATTGATAATGTACCATATGCTTAAATATTATGTTATTCCTCTTACACTTATCATAAAATATACCTAGCTATTACATATGAAATACTTATTATGTATTATATATGTTATATGTTATATATATTATAAAATATATAATTTATTAGTATGTCAACACTCAATACATTTTTTAATAGTATTATATCATGGGTGTTCTTAATTGCACACCCATAATTTTGACATAGGATAAAATAAGTAATTATATTTAAACTTTCTGTTTTTTGGTGCTATCAAAAAGACCCTCTCTGTATATATTCATCAGTCCCTAAGCGCCTGGGTTTATAATGACTAATTATACATGCACTAGTGTACAAATCTAGCATTGTTGATTTAGTACAAAAGTTTTTTTATTCCTGATCTAGTTCATCATATGTTTAAGTATATACTAATATGATATTGCTGATTGGTTAATTGGCCAAGGTTAGCATTAAGTAAAGGGAGTTTTGTATTGTGTTGAGTATACAACGACTTCCTCATGCAACAACAATGTTCTGGACTCTGCCCTGTATCTAATTTAAAAAATAATGATATATACATAATATTTATATGTGCTTGTTAGTCAATTTTTTTTATTTTTAAATATCATCATTCGGAAGTATATATCAATTTTAAGATTACTCTATGTATGCCAAAAAAAATTATATCTTATTTATATATTAATTTAAGTTTCATAAAAATTTGAATATTTATCCTATCCTCTTGTCAATTTTAATATTCAATGGCATGTAATTCTACATAATTTATTATAAAAAAATTAGGTATTTGTTATTAAAAAATATTAGGTGCTGGTCATTTAAAAACTTAATGTATAATGTATCTTCTTCAATTAAATCAGAACAATTTAATTTAATATTAAAAAAAGTCAAAAATATTTATGAGATGGTTATTGAATATTGTCTATGTATATATATATAAAAAAAAAAACAGAGAGATGATTATAGTTTTATAGAATACAGAGCAAAAGGGGTGGCTGATCGCCGCCTTTCTTTGGCCCTTTACAAAAGTGGTGGTTATAGAATATATCAATCTATAATAATTTTTATTTATTTAATAAATAAATAATCAAAGGTTATTTATATAATAAATCACCGCTGGTTTTTGAAAAATCTAATGAACTTTCGCTTTAAACGTTACCGAGATTGATTGTTACTCAAAATTTTTTTGCAAAAGCTAAATAAATTATTTAGAGATGAGAAATTAAACCTCACCCTAATTGAAAGTCAAAATCTGCTGCCCCAATGAAAATGCGAGAGTTTGTACCTGCATGAAAAAATGTAGATGATAACATTATATATATATATATATATATGTGAAAATACCATATGGAGAATTAATATAAAAATGAAGAGAAAACTAAAATGTAATTAAAGCAAGAGAGTCAGGCCCAAAAAAAAAAAATAAAGTAAGAGAGATATAATTGAATCTATGCATACCAGAGAGAACCAAGAAGACGGCCAAAGCAATGAGAAAACAAGACATCGAAATATTTGGGATGTTTTGGAATTGAGTGTTGAAAGAGAGACGAAGAGACTAATGAGAGAGAACGTACGAAGATGGCCATGGTGGACGATTGTGCATGTGTATGTATAGAGACGACGGAGCCTGGAAAAAATTTAAATGATAATAAAATATTAACCTTTTCCAAAAAAAGATTCTAAATATTAACCATTTTTTATCGGCTATTGCAATAAGAGTGGCATTGCATAGCCCTCACGCCTTTGCTTAATACAATCAAATAGTACCCAAGTCCTTGTATGTGTGTGTGAAAGTATATCAAACAAGGTATTGAAATCCAAATTAGAACAGTGAAATAGGCTGCACGAAATTAATCAGTACAATTAATAGTAACAATTAAACACTACATAATGAAATTGAAGCCTTGGTGTTTCCCACTCAACCATAAAAGCCATCGATTCCCTGCCAGTTTTAGACTGTGCCATTAATGAAGTAGCCAAGCATGACATATGCCATGCCCCATTGTTGTCCTCATTCATCTAACTATTAACTCCATTCACATTATGCAATGCCACTCATTTTTTATAGGATAAAGTAGTAAATTTAACCACTTAGTATGTTTTTAGGAGCATCTAATAATCTAAATTATTAGATAGTACAATATAAACCATGAACTTTTAAAACTAAAACATTCAATAGCTCATCGTTAACTTCAATGGACGGATATTATGTGGGGCCCATAATGACATGTGGCACTCCACGAGAACTCTACATCAACATATATAAAGGTGTAAATTTAGTTAGGAACTATTTTTTGAGTAACATTGGGTAGCTTTTACTATAAAAAATAGACCATCCAATACCTTCCCATCAATTTTGATACTTATGAGACCTATAACACATAAATCTCTTCAATCTTCTTGCCTTCGTTCTCAGTTTCAGCTTCAGAAGAAGAGGTTTAAAGAGTTCTTATCTAAAGCCATTCATGAGGACGATGCCAATGAAGTAGCTATGTGTAACAACTCAAAATTTAAATTGGATTAAAAATAATAATAATAATAATAATATAATTTAAGAATATTTTTAAATATTTTTAGAACAAATTTGATATGATGTGTAAATGGCTCAGTGGAAATTGTTTTAGGTGTGTACGTCTAAGTCCTTAGTTCGAATCCTGGTAGTGTAAGGATGGGATTTTATTTTTCCCACAGCCTCTTTAAATTACCCTTTTACCCTTATAAAAAAAAAAAGAGGAGGGATCAGAAATAAAAATGCAGAGTCAGTCAGCAGAGGGAGAGTGAGATGGATCGAGAGGCTCCTTTTCGTCATCCATTCCGCCGCCAGTAGCTGTGGGTGCGCCAGAATCTCATTCCTTCGTTTGCATCGAGTGGGTGTGTTCCCTTCCTTCCCCTCCACCTTCTCTGCCATGGTTGCCGACCCAGTATGAGTGTGGACCAGAGAAAGATTGAGTCTTCGGTCCTTTGTTCTTCTCTGTCCATTTCTTTTGTTCGTCGTCGGAATGCACGAGTGGAGCTAGGCCAGCCGTTGAGTCCGTTGCTGGTGTTCGTGATCGCTGTGAAACTGCCGCTATCAAGGCCAAACTCGCAAACTCGTCCGCTCCCTTGTTCATCCATTGGTCTTGTCTTCATGTAACGATGATGCCTGGATCTCCTTGTTCCTCTGTTTCTCGTTGACAGAATCCTCATCTCCTCCCTTTGTTCGAGCTGCCATGGTTTATAGCGTCAGGTTCTTACTCTTTCTTCTCTTTGCTTTGATTGACTGGTCTGACATAGGGAGTTTTGAATCCTCCCCCTTGTGCGATCCATGTGTGTGGGTGTTAAGTTATTGAGCTTGCAATTTTCCTTGCCCTGTACTGTCATACGCTGTGCTAAACAAGGAAAAGAAAAGTTAAATCCAATTATGATTTTAGTGTTAAAAGCAAGATAATGATCGATGGTATGGGTTTGAATTTTATTTGGGTTTAAATTGATTTTTGGAAAGGAATTGAATCTGAGAAGCATGATAAATCTAGATATTAACAATTGGAAATTGTTGGAAAAAAAGAGGAATTTAAAGAATAAAATGATTGTTTTATGGTTTAATTGTTGAATGCTTGTAATGTGCTTGATAAAATGTGAGAGGTGGATCTTGCTCTTTGATAACAAATAATGGGTTGATTGTTGTTGATTAAATTATTATAGGAGACAACTATTTTTATGGAGGTTGAACATAGAATTAGAGGATTTTTGGAATTTATAAATTTAGGACCAAGCTGGTTTATGCTTATGCTAGCTTTTCGGATGTTAATGAAGTACTTGATGATGAAAATAATAAAAGTTGGACCCACATGAAGTGGTAATGTTGAGACTTGGAAGTTATGAAAACTAAATATATATTGAAGTGGTTGAAGTTGGGCTACTACAATGAATCATGAAGTATATAAAATAGGGAGATGATAAGATTTTCTTTCATGTTTGATGGATTACATTTTTGGGTGCACGCGCTCATGCGCGCACACACATTCTTGACTAAAATTTTGTATAATAGTTGGAAGGAGAAATTAAAAATCTAATCAAAGTGTCGCATAGAAAAGGAAGATTTATAAAGTATTGGAAGGATTGAAGGAATGAGATTGGATTGATTAAATTATAATGATTTGAAACCGATTGATTATAGTGTCGCCAATATTAGAAGATAGTATATTTGGCTAGAATAAGACCATTAAATTGTTCTTTATGTTGAATAGAGTGCTTAGAGGAAGGGAGACTTGAATGAAATCCTAAGAAATAAATTCCAATACTTGGGAATACTGCAGGTAAGTGAATAATGTCCCAATTGCTTTACCATAAAATTATTTTCTGAAATATTATATTTATATAAATCATTTTAATGACAACTATGTTAATTATTGAATATTTTGTTATTTAAATTCTTATCCTCGGAAATTATAAAGAGGTATTGAAAGATAATTGAGTTATGGCATGTGTATTTTTTTTTCTTACAATGAATACTTTCAAAATGGATGAAATTATTTTTATTAACTCCGGTTATTTTGAGTTATGTGATAAATGCCAAACATGAGTTTCAGTTATGAAATTTTATCTTGACAAGTTTTAATGCTCAAAATTATGTATGCGAGTTTGACTTTGAGAATGGGAATTGTATTTTGTAGCAATGATTTTTTCACATGTTTGAAAATAGATTGATAGAAATTTTAAACAAAACACTGGTTGCTAACGATAGTTCCGTTAGCCCTTGGCATGTCTTGGTTAATAACTAACTAGTTTGAATTTCATGAGCTCCATTCTCACATTTGTTATTCGTGAGTCTCATACTTGCGTTTGTTTTTGTGGCTTCAAGCCGCGTTTGGTTAGTATTACTCTTGTGGATTGTATGTCCATGTTTGTTTCGTGGCTTTAGCTGTATTTGGTTACTTACCCTCGTGGACTGTGTGTCCACATTTGCTTTATGGCTTCGGCTGTGTTTGGTTACTTATCCTTGTAGATTGTATGTCCACATTTGATTTCATGGCATAAGTCACATTTAGTTATTTACCCTCATGGATTGTGTGTCCATGTTTGTTATTTGTTCTGATAAGTCCCCATAATTATAAGATTTTAATTATTTGATGAATTTTTTTATTGGTTTTGATTAACAACATATTTATAATTATTTAATATAATTATTTGTTTTATTAAAAATAAATGATGATGACATTCGATATGATGCTTTAATGAATCAAGATTTTTTTTAATGTTATATAGAATTCTCTTATGCCAAATTTTATTAAATATTTGGTTGCGAAAATTGTCATCTCTAGCACTTATAATTATTCTATATTTTCCTTTTATGCACATTTAATTATGTATTGTTGGGACGCTATTCACTGAAAAATTATTTTAGTCTCAGATTAATTAGCTGACATTGATCCCAATACTGACCTCTGAAGGGCATACAGCTGTTATGGGTGAAATTTTGTTTAGCATTATCTCCTTTGATATAAATATTTGAATTCATGTATTTTATTTTAGAAGAAAGGTTAGATGCTCCACATAGCCAATAGATAGGTATCTATTTTAATATATGTTGTCTGTTGATTAGAAAGAGCTAAGCTCCTGATTGATATAATATCTTGTGCAAAATATTGTGTTGTAAAACTTTTTGGGAGATTCTATTTATAGAGGAGGTTTTGTTGAAATTTTACAAAAATATTAAATCTTTTATTGTAATGATTTTTTTCTTTCTAGTACATTATAATTTCTTCTAAAATGAAAATATTTTCTTCAATTTAGGGCTTAAGGGATGTGTGATATAGTTCATATCTCATGCTGGTCACCCTCTAATTTCAAGATGTGACACTATGCATGGGAGAAGTTTGATTCTAGCTTAATTTAGATACAAATTATTTCTTTTACTTTGTGTGCATGCCAATGAACTATTTTTATGATTTTTACACTTGTGGAATTTGTTAAATATGTTGGAATATTTATAAATATTATGGATTTGCATTAATTAATTAAGCCCAAACAGATTGGTTTTTATGATTTTGTGTGGACTGTGATAGGTGGATCACGCAAGTGAGCCCAATGGATAAAAGCCTAACTTACAATCTTGTAGCCATCAATTGTTTTTATCTCATAACTGATTGAGTCAAGGATAATGTGTGATTTAATTAATTAATTAATTATTTAATTATTGAGGCAATTATTTGATGTGATCCATATAATGCGATCAGTTAATAACTAATATACACGACTCTTTTCCATCTTCTCCATTATCTCTACACTCATTAACTGCAAGGGTCTAGTAGGTTGTGTATTTTTCTATACTCAAGATAATTGAGGTACCATAATCAGTCATGGATTCTTCAGGCATGCACGTTAGTTTACTAAAATCTTATTTGATTTATATAAATTGAAATATTAAAGTTAACATGTGGCACTAGAGCTAGGTTCAAATTATTTGATTTGCAGTGTCTCAATTATTTATGGTTTATACATATTCATCAATCATCAATATCATGTGAAAATAAATTGAAACTTTTTGAATGAGTTTCCATTCTTCTATATGATTTTGTTTTCACTCACATGATATATCTTTTATCATTTGTGATAGTATATTGACAGTGCTTTTTAATGATATTTCATAAGATGCTTGTATTCTAGATTGATTCCTCAATTTTAAAATTGAGTCTCCACTTGACCATATAAATTCTATCCTAAGCACCAGGGCTGTGCATGTCCCAAGGCAAGTGAGGCAATTGGCTTGGGCCTAAAAAAAAAATATTAATATCTCATTGTATATATGTGTAATTGATATTTGTATTATTATATATTTAATTGTAGATAAAAAAGAATAAAAAGTATTAATTGTTCTTCCTGTTGAAAAGTTCCAATCATTCCTTATATAACATTAATTATTAAGCTGAGTTCATTATTTACGTAACAAAAGAATAGTGAGATTTATAATATACTAATTTGTACTATATTAGCTTGTTTCAAATTCCTCTCACAGTCTCACTTTTCATTTTCTTCCTTTCTTATTCTAAAGCCTAAAACATTGACAGATATCAGTATCAAGACCTTGTATAGTTTTAAACTATCACCACAGCACATATAAGCCTTATTAAAATGTTGTTTATAATTTATATAATTATTATTAGTTTTTCACACTAATCATTGATATTATTAGTCTTAATTATATCTTTTTGGTTAAAAATGTATTGCCATCCCATATTAGTTTTGTTACTCTATCTCAATATATAAGATCAGGTAGGAGCACTTTGTTAATACTAATTTTCATTTAACTATTGAATTAATTTAGAATTTTATTAGAATCACTATATTATAAAATTTTAATATATAATTTTGTAAAAAATTCAAAAAAATGATGAGTGGATTTTTTTTTTAAGGGACACTTACACATGCTAGGCTTTATAAATAATTTTGTCTTGGGGCCTCAAAATATCTTGACACAGCCCTGCTAAGCACGATAAATTATTTCTTGATGTTTCTCATCAAACTTTGGCTCATGGACGTTCATCGCTGGTGGATCTCTCTTCACAATGACGAGAGGCATTGCAATGCGGGAGAATAATTGATGCAATGTGACCGGAATCTCTCTCTTTATTTCTCTCCCATCCTCACAATCGTTCCTCCATTGTTTTGGTTCACGACATTGGGAGGCTGTCATGTTCGTAGCTGTATATCGCCGAAGATGACTGGTGTGTTCGGTGGAAGCTGCTGACCTCTTTGTTGTCAAGTTGCAGGAGAATGGCGTTCAAATCATCAGAGATGGCTGCTGGTGTGGCATTGGAAGCTGGGGTCGTGTGATTGTCTGAAGCTGCCGTCTTTGCCATCGCGTCATCGGTAGCAGAAGTTGTTCTCCAGGCATCTGGTTCGCGGCGCCTGGGGAAGAAGGGAATGGGTTACATGAATCAGAAACTGGGTCCTAAGGATCCGGTTTCATCCTGATTTAAAAAAAGGTTTTGTAAATTGCATTCTTTAGTCCTAGATTACAATTACCTCCTTGGGCGCATAATTTCTACAATTCTTACACTCACCCCAGGAAATTCCTCAAAATTGTATCTACGTCCCTTAACTTTCAGAATTGCGTTTTGTACCCAAAACTCTTCCAGAATTATCAATTTACCCCTCGGCCCCTTTCAAGATTCCACTTAAGCCTCAAATTTGTTCTCTAATTCCTAAAAGACCTTAAAGACTTTGAAATTATTTTGCTTTGTTCTAAGGTTATAAAGCTTGTAATTTTGTGAATTATTGATGATGCTTAAGATATCGTAGCATCGGTAATGGACATATTTCATAGGTGTGACATTATTAATGTGATTTTGATAGTTGACTTTAAAAATAAGCAAATAGCATTTTTGATGTATTAAATATTTGTTATAACCTATAGGTATGAAAATATTTCGCACATTTTTTTGGGTACAGACTTTTGTGTGAGCCAAATCTATGTGGTATGAGAGCCTTATTGGTGTATGGTGATAGTTGCATAACTAAAATTCACTTGTTGGAAACTTTTTATTATAATTATGTTATGCATGCATATATTATTTTTTCTCATATTCTATTTTGCAATTTTAATTTTCATGTTTTGAGCAATTATCTTTTGTTAAGGTTCTTTATGGGACTTCTTGGTGCATGATAATAGGAAAAAAAAATTACACACACACACACACACACATATAAAATAACCTAAGCTTTTAAACTACTTCCATGTGATAAAATAAAGGAGACTTGTTAATTCCTTAATAATACTTGTTATTTTCCTAACTTCACTTTTTAATCTAACATGCAATTACAAATTGAAAGGCTTAAAAATTTATGTTTTTTACAAGTTCTAACTTTTAAATTGACATTTAAAAGCCATTAAAATAACTTGTTCATATAGATAATAAATTTAGTTTCAAAACAGTAACTTGTTAATTCTTGAATGACTTGTTATTTTTCTAACTTTCCTTATACATTTGACATGGTCAACTACTCTAGCTCCCTTTTTTCCTAATTTTATTTGTTATTTTATAAAAGTATTAGTAGTATCAAGCCACCGTTATATTAACAAAAATTATTAAAATAAAAAGTGTTATTCAAAAATTAACAAGTTACCATTATGCTGTAAAAAAATTAGTTTTAAAACTAAATTTATTATCTATATAAACAAATTATTTTAATGACTTTGAAATTTTAATTTACAGACGAGAACTTGTAAAATACATGAATTTTTAAGCTAAGAAATTTGTAATATAAATGACAATGTCAAATTTACAAGTAAAGTTAGGAAAATAATAGGCGCCATTCAAGAATTAAAAAGTCACCATTATGCTATAACAAACAAGTGATTTTGAAATTAAATTTATTACTATATGAACAAGTTATTTTAATGACTTTTAAATGTTAATTTATAAGTGAGAACTTGTAAAATACATGAAATTTTAAGCCTCTTAATTTGTAATTAGCCATGTTAGGTTAACAAGTTAAAAAAATAACATGTCGTTTGAGAATTAACAAGTCATTATTATATTATAATATGGAAGTGGTTTAAAAGCTTGGGTGATTGCATATAAATTTTTTGGTCTGTTTTAATTTAGTTGGCTTGGTAGCTTGATTGTCACAAGCCTTGCTAGGTGGCCAAGGGGTCAAACCCATGACCCCTTGGGCACCTATTTACCAATTACCAAATACCAAATTAATTGATCATCTCTTATGATCAACTGCTGGCAGCAGTCTAGTTGTGGGATTGACTTTTTAAAAAAAAAATAAAGGAGTATTTTTGTCATTTTACATTCAAACATATTTATATTTTAATCTCTAGTTTCGACATTGTTGAATCAAATTTTTTTGGTCATTTTTTCACAAAAAAAAAAAAGTTGCCCTTGGAAAGACGTTTGGATTGTGATTTTCTCTTTACTTTTCTAATGTTGAAAAATTTTTCTACAAAATTGAAAAGACATTTGGAAATTAAGAGAGGATGCATCAAGGAAACTTTTTACACATTTTTCATGTAGTTCACTCATTTTGTTGGAAAAGTGATAACATGTCTATGAAAATATAATGTCACTTTTAGCACGGTTTCCAGAATCCATGATCAAAGTGCTTTATGTAATCACACGCGTTTTGATCAATGCCCGATGGACATTCCATCAAATGTGGAAAAAGTTTACCATGTTTCTACTTCATTCCGAAATTTATATGGAAGAATTGCATAAAAGGTCCTTAGAAGAAGAAAAATTACTCTGCAGGCCCAATAAAATCTGATAATGCTCTCCATTCTTGAAGGACTCATCCACAATTAATTTCCAACCTGAAATGATAGAACTACTCTTGATGACTAAAAAAGAATATACCACCCTAGAAATTTATAGACCTTTGGTTGTTAATTTGTTTTGGGTAACTGAAATGATAGAACTACGCTTCTTGTATTCTTTAAGGGTAAACTACAAATGGACTCTCTTATAAATAAATAGATATCTCATTGTAAGTAATTGGACTTTTCTTATTATTTATGATTTTTTGTTTCTTCATGACTCTGGTCATGTCTTGATTATTGTGTCACCCTACGCTCTTCTCCGAGGATTAATTTATTAATTATAGTTCAAACTTATTTAAAGTAATTTATTTCTAAACATTTGAATAATTTGCCAAAAGAAAAATTATGTAAGGTCCAAAACACGCTTATAGACCAAACTTTTTGGATCCAATGAAGACTTTATATATCCAAGATTATGAGGATAGATTTATTATTATTCTTGTGTTGAAATTTTGCGTTAGACAAAAAAATTTATGATTTTGAGAGTAATATGTGTGTGTGTGTTTGTTTAACAGGTTATATGATCACTTTTTCTTTACAAATTAACAAGTCTCATTTGTGAATTTATGTTTTGAGAATTGTAAATCAAGATATGAAATAGCAAACGATTGAAAATAACATTAAACTTAACAAGTTTTTTCTTTACAGATTAATGAATTTTACATGAAAATTCTTATTTTAATGATTACAAATCAGGAAATAAGAGTAGCAAAGTTGAGACTAATTTATTAATTAAAAGACCTTTGATCCTTAATTTTATTTCAAAATTCTTTTATCCATGTATAAAGTTAATTCAATCTTAAAGTTCTTTAAAATAATTCCCTTATATTTCAGGTATGTAAGATTCATTCAAGAATTCTATAATTAAATAGTTGAAAATAGTTGATTTTTTTTATTATAAATGATTGTAGCTATCATCATTTTACATAAGAACTCATAAGAAATGTTCATAAGTGAAAAATCTATATAAATGTGTGCTTCCATTTTTAAATATAAGTAAATTTCAGCAAACTCATATAGTTTAACAAAAATTAGTTAATTATAATAATTATGTATGAAATTAAATTTGTTACTTATTCTCAAAATATGCTACGTCTCCAAATATTTCATCTACTTCACCAAGAATATGAAATATAATATTCTCAAATAATCTTGTCAATTGAATTTATTCGGATTCGTTTTGGTGCCAAAATTTCTCCAATGGTTCAACGAAGTTAACTTTTTGGGGAAAAGTTTCTTGGTTTCAATGGATAAACACCCAATTAGCTCTTCAGATTTCTTAACCGTTCAAAAATAAATAAAATTTTTGAAAAATGATAATAAAATCTCTTCTAATTATGTAAATGATAATTTGATCCCTCAAAATGCCATAATACCAACAAAGTTCTTAGGGGCATCTTTGTTAATAATTTTTTTAATAAAAAGATCATTTTACCTTTACCTTTTTAGGGCTCATATTGTTAATTTGTTCTGGTTTGTGAAACGACACTGCCATTAAAATGCCACGTACTTTATTTCCTGGTTAGCAAATAAAAAAAATTAAACTTAGAATAATAATGTTAGGGCCTATTTGTTTTTTTATTTTTAAAATATTTTGTTTTTTAAAACAGAAAAATTTAAATTTTGTTTGGATAAAATATTTTTACAAATGAAGTATGTGTATATTTATATATAGCATGTTTAGAATGAAAGAAGACAAGAATGACTCTGGCTCCAATATGAAAACTTTTTTGTTGAAAAATTATACCTAAGTCCCACAGAAGAGAATTTATTACAAGAAGGTTTTATAAATTTACAAAATACTCTCAAGTCTCAAATCTTACACTTTACACCTTGGCTAAGGGTATTTAAAACTTGTTATTATAAGTTGAAAATGACCTTAACCAAATTGTAAATGTGCAAGATTTTTACATATATAATCTCTCACTTGATTTTTTTTACAAAATGTGCAAGTTGAAAATATTTTTACATATATAATCTCTCACTTGATTTTTTTTTATTTTTTTCAAATATAATATCTGACATAAAACCAAAATATTCAATATAAATATATAAGACAATTTGTATCACAGTTAATTAAATGAAAATTTTCTTCTAAAATCACTGTATGATATTGTACTAATTCATCAAGACATGACAAGAAAATCATGGTATTTTCTTCTGCATCAATCACTGTACTAACTGATCAATTTATCAACAATGTTTTCCACATAAGAAAAGTAAAAGACTCCTTATCGTAATGCGAGTTTATCATCTCTTGTGTCCATTTTAAATTAAAGTCTTCAACTTTTTGTAAGCCTTCTTTTCTATTTGTTATCAACTAATGTGTGATCGTCAATGTCAATTTTTTAGTAAAACACATTCGGGGTTCCTTCAATTTTACTAAAATTACAAAAACCTTCAATGTGTTTTGACAACCTTAACTTTAATATAAATTTTATTAACGGAGGTTGATATTAATAGAAGGGATTATAGTCGCCTAAGCACCAAATATTGAATTTGAATTTGTATCTTGAAAAAAACCCCTTTGGGACCCCTCAGTCTTCCCTAACGTCTTTGTTGGATTCAAAGAGTTTCTCTATATAGCAATGTTGGAATTTATAAGACTTTCTTCATAGAAATTATTTAAATTCTCATAAAATATAGAGCTTCAAAACCAAAATAATTTTCAAAATATATAGGACTTTTTGAATGGATAAATTTCTTCTTCAATCACTGATGATAGAATCATTGATCAAGACACAATAAGAGTTATGGACATATGGTCATTTCATTAAAATACTAAGGTGGTTGCAATTAGCTTGTTAGCTTGTGCGGTAATTATCTTCCTCTATCCCTCCAAATGTCTTTTTTAGATTATTCCCAATTTTTTCCACGTAATAAAAGTGAAAGATTCCTCATCGTAATATTTACTTTGAATAAAATAATTTTTTTTCACTACTACGATAATTTCCCGTCTCTTTTGTCTGTTTAAAGTCTTCACTTTTTGTAAGTTTTCTTTTCTATTTCTCAAATGACACATAACTTTCAACAACTATGTTTTTTTTTTCCCTCCTTTTTCGTTTGTCTGTGAGTAAGTATTCCAAATATTATCTCACTTCTAGTTTCCTTCATCGTTAGTTAACATATCATTACATAGTTTTTATTCCGTATATAAATGTTTTTGCTAGTATTTATTCGTATTTAAGATTTCACTGACTTTAACAAGTTTTTAGCATATTTTTGATGCACTTATTTCATTTTTCGTGATCTCTTCATGCATCTATTCGGTCACTAAAATTTTTTTTTATTTCTATGTTAATTGATTTTAGCTTGCGACTTGTATATTAATTCAATTTTGCTGATTATTTTTATAACATTGAGTGTTTTTATTTTGGATTTCTCTTCAAGTCCGAGTCATCCTTTCTGTAGGAAAATATATACATATAGTATAAATTAGTTTTTCTTAATTATTTCCAACTATAAATTACTAATTCAATTATTTGTAGTCCAACTGAGTCTGCATAAAAACTCTTCATCCCTATCGACTTCATTAATTGTGCGCTTCTAAGTCAGCTAAATTAGGTTACATTTATTTCATTATTTGTAAAACTTGATATAGATTTTATATTATAAACTGACTAATGATTTCTGACATATACCATAAATATAATAATCTTTTCAATATTTGGAAGTGCCTAATATTTTTGGCAATTATTTCAGTTTAGGTGGATTTGTAATTAAACATATCTAATCGATTTTTGACTAAATAATGAGCCAAATAACTAATCAACAACTCCACCACCAATAAGCCTTATTTCATTAGATGAGGTTGGTTATATAAATTACATGATGTCATTGTACTCTATTATTTATCAACTTTTGTAAGTGTTCTCTTTCTTCTTCTACCCTTTTTTAAGATGTTTAAGATTATCTATTTCACTCTTTTCGCCGGTGCTTCTTGTAGTTTTCTTTGTACATGTCCAAATCATCTTAAATGATTTTATTTTATCATTTTTTTCTCAATAGATACTATGCTCACTTTTTTTTTTTTGTATATGCTCATTTCAAATTTATTTTCATGTGTATGCCTCATCTTTGCTATTTAAGCACGTTAATTTTTAACTTTAAAGTTTACTGATTTATAATATAATATTTTTAAAATATTAGGATAGTTAATTTTTATTTAATATATGGGTAGCATTATAGAATTTTATTTGAAGTAGACATTATTGTAAGGAATATTTTACTTTTCTATTGTGAAAAAATTTGCTGATAAATTGAAAAGACATTTGGCAAGATTGGGATGGAGTAGAAAATTCCATGATTCTAATTATGGTGTCTTCACCAATTAATATTACCATACAGTGATTGGAAAAGAAAATTTCCATTTGATAAGACATTTTAAATAATATAATTTGAAAAGAAATAATTATATATTTTTTCATTTTATTTGAGATGAAAATTGTGAGATGAAGAAACTTTTATTATTTTAAGGTGGAAAATTTTTCCATTAAATTGAGAAAGACATTTGGAAATTAGGAGAGGATGGACCAATAAATTTCCACACATATTTGGTGTATTTTCACTCAGATTTTAATGAAAGTGATATGTGGAAAAAGTTTGCCCACTTTAAAATTTTTCTTTCCAGAATTTATAATCATATAACATTGTCAAATATAAATACTTATTAAGTAAATTTATGAAAAATTGAAAATAAAATCCCTCAAATTATATAAATGATAGTTTAGTCCCTTAAAATGCCATAACTCAATTGAAGTGTGTAGGGATGTCCATCTTTGTCAATAAATTGTCATTTATAATTGAAAGACTTCTGTGTAAGAATTGAAAGCTCGAAAGCAATTACATTTTATTACATTTCTGTTTTAGTTAATAGAATAGTCTTCTGTTTCACTTAAAAGAGAACATTAATCTACTCGACAAATTTCGCAGAAAAGTCTTAGAGAAGATAGCGTTACATAAAGTCTTCTAATCCATTTCTTCTTCTTCTTCTTCTTCTTTTTAATGGAAATTGAAACAAGAAACGATGATACAATGAATTCACTCATTAGTCTATATATATAGAATGATAATATATTATTCAAAGTTCAAACTTTAATATTAGTCAGATTGAATAATGGATGGACTTTCGTGTGTGTGTGTGTACATATATAGCGTTTTCTGGCGTCTCTCTATGTTGCCATAGAAGTTTGGGAGGGTAACATTTAAGGATCTTCTCAGAATATTATTTATATTTAAAGATCATGAAATTTTAAAATTTCAAAAAGTGATCATTATCCTTAATTGAAATTAAATTTTTCTGAGTTGTTTTTTTTTTCAATGCTCATCTTCTATATTTTCAGTTCTCATTTTTAGTTGTCATCTTAGATGGTTCAATACTGATCTTCCATATTTTTAGTACCGAAATACACTTAACTTTAATTCTTTTTAGCACCGAAAACTATGGAAAATAAGCATTGAAAACATATAAGATGACTCGGCTATTAAAAAAATAAAAAGTGAGAACTGAAAATATTAAAAATGATTATTAAATGAGAAAAGTGAGTACTGAAAATATAAAAGATGAGTGTTGAGAAAAATTAATGAAAAAATTTAATCCCAACTAAAGATTGTAATTAATATTCTTTGAAGATCCTTCAATGTAAATTTTCTAGAAGTTTTGATATAGAGGTGAACTTATTTGACACAAAAAATTGGAGTCAGTTGGGGGAAAAGTGTGTTAAACTGTGATGCATGCTTTTATAATCTGCTCAGTTTATTAGAATCAACCAAGACTTAAAAAAAAAAGGTTGACAAAAATTGAAAATTAATTTTTATTTGTCATATATCCATTTAATTTTAATTAATTTATATATGTATATTAATCATGAGAAAATTAAGAAATCTCTAACAAAAATTTTCATGAGCTATTAAAAATGTATTATTTTTCCCATAAAAAAGTGTATTATTTTTAGGAAATGACAAATGAGTCTCGTATAAAAAATTTATTTACAATTATGTTCCATTAATTTAGAAAAATACATTTAAGTTCTATGAAACTTGATTGTAATTAATTTATCATTTAAAATGATACAAATACCTTTAGACTCCCACTCTTTTGATGAGTGTTGACTGACCATTAGTGGTCAATGATCGGTGGCCAAGGGCCATCGACCAATTACCAGCAAGTGTTGTAATATTTTTTTTGAAAAATATTTTTATTGAATTATTTATATTTTAATATTTACAAGTCAAATACCACATGTTTACAAGTAAATCTTGCTCAAACTTTTTACATTTACAAGTCGACCTCCTATAATATTAATAAGTTAATATTTACAATCAACTTTGCAAATTTACAAGTTAATAAATTTTACAGATTTATAGGTTAAACATCTTAATTTGCATTTTTAACTTTTAGATTTGTGAACTTCAATTTATAAATATTAAAGTACTAATATTGTAAGAGGTTGACTTATGAATGTAAAAAGTTTTACTTGTAAATCATGAGTATTTACTAGTTAATCTGTGATATTTTTTAGAAGAATTATTTACTTGTAAACCAACACCTATGAGAATCACTGTAAAGTCCCTCACAAAGATTGTAATTATTAAAAATTTCACAAAATGTATAGATTGCTCTCAAGTCCCATGCTCTTGTAAGTAAGTTAATAACTGGTGTTTAAAATAAAAATGATGACTTGAATATACAGATTTGTATTCATGCAACCAAAAAAAAAACATGTGTGGGGGGGGGTATTGTGTGATAGGGATCACAATAATATTTGAAAATATCTAAAGCTTCATCATTAAACTTCTAATGCACTAAAAACACAATATTGACAATAAAAACTGTATGAAAACATAAGAAAATGACTATTATTTTCTGAATTATATTGTTCAACTTTATTTGATCAGAAGCATACGGTTCCATGCAGTTTGCACAATGACAGAATGGAAAATGGAGGCTTGTAAATAAAGGAGACATTTGTGGATGGAGTCAGATAATAACGCAGACAAATTAAGGGTCATATCTGATAGGAATCAAGCAAAGATTGTTTTTCCTTCTAGTGGGACCATATTTCTCAGTCATGTCCAACTTCTCGTGCTCTAGTCCATTCGGAAGTTTCCAATCAAAGTGGTAAAGCAAAGTGGATAGCATGATTTCAACAAGAACTACAGCAAATGAGACTCCAGGACATATCCTCCTTCCAGAACCAAATGGGATGTACTCAAATTCTGTGCCTTTAAAGTTGTAATCAATTGAGGCATTCAGGAACCTTTCTGGTTCAAATTTCTCTGGCTCATCCCAATACTTTGGATCTCTTCCAATGGCCCAGCTATTGATTATGACTTTAGTCTTAGGAGGTATCTCATAACTATTAATCTTACACCCCTTGCTATTTTCTCTAGGAAGTAGCAATGGCGCTGGTGGGTGGAGCCTTAGGGTTTCTTTTATGACTGTAGATACATATCTCAAATGATGAAATTCTGATTCATCTACATATCCTTTACTTCCGAAAACCTTTCTTACCTCTTCCTGTGCCTTTTGCATTTTGTTGGGGTTTCTAAGAAGTTCTGACATTGACCACTTTGCAGTTGTTGCTGATGTTTCAGTTCCACCAAGGAAATATCCTGAAAATACGTATATATAAGTTCACGTTCAGAGATAACAATGCGTGTTTTGAATTAGAACCCAATACAAGCTAGGGCCTCTAATGTATATTTCTTTAATATCCTTTGTAAAACCCTAGTTTTTCAATTTTTTTTTTGAATTATTCGCTTCTACATAAAATAAAAAAATATCTTGAATGGTGAAATTTTGTATTTTTTAATGATTTTTTAGAGAAAAATATCACGATTACACTCTTTTATTTTGGAAAAATTGTAAAACAAAAATACACAACTCTACCATTTTAAGATTTCAAGATATTAAAATGTCTTTTATTTTATATAGAAGCCAATAATCTCAAAAAAAAAAATGAAACTAAAAAGTTAGGGACATTATAAAAGACATTAAAAAAAAGGCACATCAGTGGTCTCTGTACGCCTCAAAAATTAGGCGTGACCGGCACGAGACATATGTACAAACGCACGTTCCTTAACCCTTGATCAATAAAATTTTTATTTAATATCTTAATTCATTTGAAATAGGATTGGAAATTATAGTAACATATTCCATAAAAATAAAAGATTCATAAACTTTCTGTAGAGATTTCGGCAAAATTTTCCTCTGTAAATAGAACCTTTTGAATCTCTACAATAACCACTTACAGACAAATTAATAATACAAAGCTTTACTTCTCTACAACAGACAGTCGATATAAATTTACAAACCGAAATCACATCTATAGTTAATGTGGAGCACTTAAATTTAGTTTTAAAATATAGTGCATAATTGAATATATACATAAAAAAATGTGATCTCATAATAAATATTCACCTAGCTGAGTGTCAAGCCTTTCAATAATTGGTAGGAGGTTCAACATCAGCTAATGAATCTGAGACTAAAACATTTTCTAATAAATAGCATCCCCAAAAATAGAATTTAAAAAAAAAGTAAAAATAATAAACTCAAATAATTATGTAAAATAATTGAAAAGATGATAATTCAATATATTAAACTTAATAAGTCTGTAAATTTTAATTATAACCATAAAATCAAAGTAAATTGGAATTGCTTTATTCAATCATACCTGAAAAAAACAAATTATTCAAATATAAATCAAAGTAGCACATTTACTAACTGAAATCATTAAAATTTCAAATACACTAGTTAAATAATAAAAAAAACTTTATATTTTTTTTTTGAGGACTTAACAAAACAGGTAACAAACGTGAAATATAGTCCATAAAGGTAAAATAATTAAACGCGGCTTATGCCACAAAAACAAACATAGACACATAGTCCACGGGGGTAAGTAATCAAACACGATCGAAACCACGAAACAGACATGGACACACAGTCCATGAGGGTAACTAATCAGACGTGGTTGAAGCCACAAAATAGACGCAGGTATCAGACCCATAAATAACAGACGTGAGAACAGAACTCACAAAAATCAAACTAGCTAGTTATTGACCATGGCATGCCAAGGGCTAAAGAGACTGTCGTTAGCAACCAGTGTTTTGTATAGAGTCCTCTTAAAAATCACATTTCAAACATGCGAGAAAAATAGTCATTACTAAAATAAGATTTTCATTCGCAATGCCAAACTCACATAAATTGTTTCAAATCTCAAAGCTTGCTAGAATAATACTTTATAGCCAATGTATAAGCTTGCATTAGTTGAGTAACCAAGAATTTTCAAAGTAAAATAAACAAAGATGCATTTATCAATTTTGAAAGTATACTTCTTTTAAAAGAAAATACATGCACAAACAATAATTTAATTAACCTTTATCACCATTCTATAATTTTCAAAGCCAAAATAATTTAATTAACAAAGTACTTAATAATCATAATAGTTGTTAAAAATGATTTATATAAAAAGGTAATATTTTCAAAAATAGACTACTTTTACTGATAAAATAATAGGAATGCTATTCATTTACTTGTAAAGTTCTCAAATGTATATCTTACTTCTGAACTAGTCTCCTAATGACAATGCCTTATCCTCAAATTTCCTAATATTCAAAGAATATTATCATCACTTCCTCAAACATACTTTACCATCCAAAAATCTTTATTAATCCAAAATTTTCTCTTTTAAACATTTATCAAAAATCCTTTATTTTACACAATGTTTAGGCCATAAAACCAAGTTCTTATACTCTTAAATATGTGAACTAATCATCTTTTAACTTCTATTAAAGAGAATTGTCTTCTAATTTCTATTTAATTAACAATAATATAATTACCGCATGTATCTTGTTATCATATAGCAAATTCTTCTAATTAGATATTTCATTAAACACCTTATATACATTAATCTATAAACTAAAATTCTAAGTTATTTCTCTTCAAATCTCATTCCAACGGTTTCCAAAACCAATATTTAAATTATTTATCTAAGTTATTTCTCTTCAAATTTCATTCCAACGGTTTCCAAAACCAATATTTAAATTATTTATCTGCAACAACCAACGCAAAAGCAATTTATCAACCCAAAAATCATGCTTTTAATCTCCTACCCAACACATTCCATACATTCATCATTAAATTCATCATGCTTTTCCAATCCAATTTCCCATCAAAATCATTTTAAGCTCAGAAAAAGGAAGCAGGGAAAGCCGACATATATATATACACACCACACAAAATCATCAGAGATGAAGATGGGAGGAAGAGGGCCCTCACCAGCCACAGGCAACAACGATGATGGAGGGAGAGGAGTTCGGTGCTGAACAGGAGAAGGAAAAAAAAAAACAGAGCATCGGACCTTCAGCATCAAAGAATGAATACCACAGCCCAATGTTGAAGGGCCCATCGCCGGCGACACAGAAGAACAGGGATCGGACAAGCTTGTGATAGATCGTGACAGTGAGCGATCGATGAAGGGAAGCAGATAGAAGCAAGATGAATCCCCTTGCTTCCACGCGACAGCACACGGAGGAGGAGGAAGAAGAAAAAGACCTCCTTTTCCAGTCGCCAGTGCCAGTGGCAAGAGGGAACGGTGGAAGGACGAAATGAAGAATGGAGGAAGAAGCTTCTAGATCTCGATCTCTCTCTTGCTCTCTCACTTGCTGTCAAATGCCAAACTGAATCTGAGGAGGAAGCGAAAAAATAAAAAAAAAATTGATGGTGCCAGGGCATAATGGTAATTTTATAAAGGATGAAAAGCCAAAATAATCTTTACTGTTGCATAAATTTAATAATAAGGATATTTGCCACTAAATCATCAGTTTACCTTGCAAATTTTACCAAAATATATATATATATATATATATAATTTTGAGATACTACAGTCTCCTGGCCCAATGAGTAACTAAATGACAAAATAATTGGATCATAAAGTAACACAAATGCTCACCGTGATAATAGCTTTAATGTTCTCTTCAGACAATGGTATTTTAAGGTCAATTTCCTTTTGAATCCTTAGGAGGACATCGATCAGATCGTCTTCTGTTGTCTTACCAACTTGGCCATCAGGATTGTTATTCTTTTCAATGTGATCATTGATGATATTCCTTACCATCATATCAATCTCCCTATTCACCCTCTCGATTTTAAATTTAATGCCAGTGATCACTTAAAGGATTTTGACTGAAGGGTAGAGATCAGCATTTGAGAAACCACTCAACACCTCCAGAACACGCTTCATAGTTGATAGGATCTGTCCAATGTTCTTGGTCTTAGCACTAAAGGCCGCTCTTGCAGTTACAAAATTTGTGAGCTCGTAAAGCTTCTTAGTGAGATTGATGATGGAGCCTTCGTGTTCTGATACGTTCCTCACAAGTGCTGACACCTCCTCTACTCTTATTGTACAAATCCTTCAAAGTTTCCTCCAATAGCTTCCATATGGAGAGAAGGATATGCCTGTATTATTGGAAATTAAGGTGGTCGCAAGAAGAGCGAGACCATTAGCAAAGGTTGTGTCATGTGTCTTCATGATCTCTTGGGCTATTTCTGGGGAAGACACGACAACGCACGTGGGACAATTCTCCAAGTTGAAGGTGAATGATGGGTCTGTACTGGTTGGCTGGGTCTCTCAGGGCGTGATGAGGTGGCGACCCTCTAAGTTGGTGTAAGTTGCCAATGATGGGCAATTTGAATGGTCTTGGGGGTAGGGTTTTGATGGATTTGTTAGAGCTTGATCTCTTCAGTATTATAAGGAAGAAGAAAGAGATTGCGATGAGGATAGAGTATGGGATTTGAATCTCCATTGATGGCTAAGGAGATGGAGAACTGGATGATGTGGGTTTGATGACAGATAAGGACCCCTTTTATGAAAAGTAAAAGGAGAAATGGCTATAGAGTTTTGTTATCATTTTGGTTGAGGGTAACAAAGTTTTAAAACAAGGAATTGATTGAGTTGGATCCCTCCGCTCCACTATTTGGACCATCAACCTTATTATACAAATCTTGTAAAACACAACTCATTGGTCAGCCACTGCTGATCCCTCATTGGACAACTAGAAATTTTCCTCTCCCCTTATTGGTTTAATTCATTTATTATATGGTATCTTCATCATGATGTATAATTTCTTTTTCCTTTTGTCTGTCTCTCCCATTTATTGTTCAACTGTTGCCCTTCCATTTAGCTTCCCATTATTCTTCTTTCATTTGTTCATTCTCTTTTGCATTTAAAAAAAATTATTCATTCTCTTATATTCATCGAAACCAGCGCCTCTTATTTTCTATTTTGAATTTTGAATTATTTATCTTACTTTTCATTCATTTGTTTTCTATTTGGTTTCTTCGTTTCTGCAGCATGCAGGTGGCAATTTTCTCAGGGGCCTCGATGATCAGGTACCACTCATTCATTCCCTTCGGGCTTCAAATCATATCAGTTCCTTTTCGGATTCTTCCACTGTTGCACCATTAATCAGGTTTTAGATAACCCATCGTTCCGTTTGCTCTTCCCCGAGTACAGTTCTCATTCCGACGTTCCATATCTCGCAAAAGGTTTGATTCATACTTTCTAATGTTTTTTCTTGCTCGAATTTATATTTTTTTTCTTCTTCCTCTTTCAATCATCTTTCATCTTTCCGTGACATCTTCGTTGCTTGCAGTGCGTATTTTATCAGAGAGGGAAAAACGGATGGCTCGACTGGAAAAAAGGATGGCTTTGTACATTTTAGCGTCGCTCGACTCCCTCCATTCCTCGACTCAGTTAGTTCTTCTTTGCTTTCTTGCCTCGCTGTTATTTTACTTGTAGACCTTAAAATTGAAACTCCCGTCCTAGCATTCATCTCTACTTCCCTTGTTTTCATCTTTTTTTTCCCCCTCTCTGAAACTCTCGTCTTTGCAATGATTTCTACTCCGCTTCTAGATCCAGAAAAGGTTCGAAATATTAGCGGAATCTAGCTTTTGAAGTAGCCCCATTAGTCGTCTTCTTCAATTGGAAATGCAGAGCCACGAGTCAAGAAAAACTCGAGATCTGCGATGCTTCATCTCTACCAACGGTGGGGTTCCAGTCCTACCACCGCTTGGTGGCAGCGCAAGGTACATGTATATTTCAACTTATTTGATTAATGTATTGGGATTCAATTTATTTTTCCATTTTTCCTTTATTTTAGTCTACTTTTTTCTTTCACGGGAGCGTTAGTAGTCTATTTTGTCTATGTAATTTGTTGTGGTAGGCCTCTGCAATGGGGAGTCTCCAGGGGAGGTGACAGGTGCAAGCCTAAAAAGTGCCATCAATAATGCAAAGAGTTGTCCTGTTGTGGGAATGGGTACAATTTTCTTTGCTCTGCGTTGTTGCTTGATTTTACTCGGAATTGCTGTTTTTTTTCTCCTGTGTTTGTTTTGATCCTATTGTGTTGGTTGGATTGGTGGAAACCTCCTATTGTTTAGTAGAGACTGTGTTACAGAAAATTAGGCGCTTTAATTATCCGATATGGTTTGGTGTTCTTGGGGGATCAAGCTATTTTTTTCATGGATAGGAACTTCCTTTTGCTATTCACAAAATTTCATAGCACAACTCATTTTGGGTAGTTTGCTTCCTGAGTCCTTTATTGACTTCTTTTCACATCGTCAAGAGCTTCAATGATGGGGAGACGTCCAAGTTGTCTTTTGATGTAAAAGTTAAGAGTAACATTGATTCTAAGTGTAACATTGGAGGTTTTGGTGAAATGATTATATTTAGTTTAAGTTAATATGGCTCTAACCTTATGCGTTATCAGTAGGATCACCACCTTTCCCTCATTGAAGATGACTCATTATCAGTATCATAGTTTATGGTTCGATCTAAAAAACTGTTATATTTTGTTAATGCCATTACAATACCTTGAGTCTGATGTGAAAGAAATGATATAAATGAATTGGTAAGTTAAAAAAAATAATAATTGACAGTCAATGTATATAAAATTATTACTTTGGTTCATTCCTTATGTATAGATTTAGTATATAAAATTGACAGTCAAGGTGATTTTGATTGAATCGTAAGACCCCAAAGTATGCAATTGATTCAATGAGAGAATTCCAAATTATATAGGATCAGATTTTTTTTAATGTTTATGCTGGAATCATTTCTTATTTTTCTATTTTAGAATTCTTTTTTAATTAAATTGGCTGTTTGTCTTTATTTTAAAATTTTCAATTTCACTTGATCATGTTTTTGGCAGGTAATTCAAGAGTCTGTCTATAATTGAGTTGTCAGATTTCGGCTTTTTCGTAATTATGGCTTGAGGTCATTCTTTCGTAGCGAACAAGTAGGTATCTGTATAGTTTGATGCCATATGTTATACTAATATAGTTTCATTTTTACTACTTAGAAAAATTTGGTATACTGATTTTGAGTTGTGTTTGCCCCTTGCACTATTGTTCTTCATATATTAGCTTAATTTATCGTATGATTTGTGGTCAAGGAACAACCAAATTATATGTGGTCTGCAGTGTGTTAGAGGTGAGCAAAATAGACTGAAGAAACTGGGTGATGGAGAATAGTAACTTATTGATGCTTGCCTATTTGCTGGGCTGCTGTAACTAATCCTTCATTAGCCTTGTAGATATTTTAATAAACTATGTCAGAGTTTTAACAGGGATGTATTGCAAAGCATATTTCATTCAGCAGAGATTGGAAATATATGGAAATAGAATCTAGCTTACATGATAGTCTGATTTTATTTAGTTATGGTTATGTAACTTATTTTCCAGAGCATTGATGGCGTTAGCAAAATCATAGAGGGCTGTAATCCAGCAGCTTGGTTGGAAATCACAACTTCAGCACAATAGGTTAGCTTATGAGTTGATTTTATTGAGTTTTGCAAAAACTGTGACCCATACAGGTGAATTTATGGTTGTGTATGTAATGGCCATTGACTGGAGTCACATTCATCATGTTGATTTTCCAAAATCTTAAACTACTTGCAGGAACTGACTTCGTAGATAGTAATTGAGCATTTGCAATTGATAGGTTTAAATCGTATATTCCTTGATTATGGCTACAATAGCACATTTGCAATTGATGGCTCATCCATGATGTGTTGCATATTTTTCAATTTTCAAGGATGTTTCCAAATTATGCTAAGCATAGAGATGGAATAGCTATATTGCACCTTTTTGATTTTTCATTTCAAGAAAGTGCAATTGGGAAGCTTTATTCTGAGAAGAAAGAGCGCTCCTTGTTGCTGTAAGCAATTATCTTGTCTTTAATTTTTTTTTCCCCTTCTCAAGACTGCTTTGCAACCTCATGCTGAAAGTCAAATTTGGCAGAATGGAATTTTTGAACTTTAAAGCATGGATAAGTGGCCATTGGCTTGTAACTTACCACCCATGTCTTGTGCCTTTCAAATATTTCAGATCGATATTTTTTAATATGTCTTTGCCAAGGTGAGATAGCTTTGGCATTTGGAGTTTTAATAAGGATGTTATGGATGTTTGGTTCAAATGGGTGATTTTTACCTTTTCTTTGCTCTTGTATCTTGTAATGGTTTGCAATTCTTACTGGATGAAGTCTGGTTTTTTATGTTACTTTACTTTGGTCTTCTGTCTCCAAATTTACTGATTTTAGACTCTCCTGGCAGCATCTTCTGAAATCTGAATGAAGTAGCAAACCACTGTTTCGAGAATGCATCAGATAAAGGAATATTACAGATAAAATTAATCAAGTCTCTTTACCATATTTCTTTATCATATTCTTTTATCATATCAAGCCTGTTTTTGTAATGTTAGAGTTGCGGCCCTAAATTTTTTTCAACTTGGTTGAAACATGACAGCCTTTTCATTGTAAGTTTCTATTTGAGTTCTAGCATTATAGAATCTAACTGATGAGTTTTTAATTTGTTTTTCATTAGGCAGCACAACCTGTAAGTGGCAACAAACGTGTTTCTTTTTCAGTACAAATCTCGGATGGATGATGGGAAAACAGTGTAATGGTCCAGAAAAAAATAAAAATAAAAATAAATAATTAATGAAATTAATTAATATATAACTTTGTTTTAATAGTAATTATATTAATTTTGAGAATTTGTTTAGCAAGAAGAGTTGGTTTAGTGGCTAGTATGTAATCAGTTATTCAATAGGTCCCAAGTTTGAACCATTTTTGGAGCATGAATGAGAAGTTTCTTTCTTTTGTGTTGGCCTATAGAAAGTTACCATTTTTGCCCTTAGAACAATAACAAATGCAATAAAGTAGGTTCAAGACAGAATATATGTATACTCCTCCAACAAAGCTGAGTCGGTTTACAGAGAAAAGAGAGAGAGAGAGCAATAAAAATCTGCTTGGCTCACTGTTCTACCAGGAACCTTCGAGAGAGTGTGTCTTCTGATCTCTAGCCTCTTCTGTAAGTGCTTCCTTCCGCCCTTTTCTCCATCATCACATCGTCGCTGGCGTAGATCTCAAGCCCACCACAAGTTCACTGCTGTTCCTCTTCCTTGGTTTCTTCGGTGCGGATTCACTTAAGCCTTCCCCGTTGTCTTCCCTATCACGTTTGCACCGTTGGTGTGTGAGGAGTTGAGTCACTGGAGCTGGAAGATTCAGCTCGCAAGTCCTTTCCTCCCTCGTTCATCCGTGAGGATCATCACTTTCTTCACTGCTTCGTGCTCCCTGTTTCTGTTGTTTTTTTTTTCTGCTGCACCGTCTGTGTCGTTCTGGGTTGAAAAAACACAAAGCATCAGAATTGGGGTGGGGCTGTTGCTGTGAGCTCGTATTGGTGCTGTGGAGTCAGGCTTCTTTTCTTTGCTGTGCATGGTGACAGTGCTGTTTGTCCTCTCCCCTGTTCAGCCATAAACCCCAACATCTCTGTTTTTTTTTTCCTCTTTCGGTCTGTGGCGTTGATAAGGTGAGGGATCTTCATGTTTCATTTTTTCTTAGTCTGCACGAATGTGATTAGTTGTTGAAGTTGCAAAATTTATGCCTCTGTTAGTGCTGTTGCCGTGCTGTTGTAGGGGGAGAATATTCAAATTTGAGATAGAAACCTATTTTAAAGCTTGGTAATAATATATACATATACGCACACACATGTACGTATATGAGTTATAATTTTGAAGCTAGGTAGATCTTATTTGGATTGACTTATGTTAAGGAAATTATTAAGGAAAGGTTGGAAGATGATAGCTTTGATATATTACTTGAATATTGGCATCAACGGGATGCTTATTGAAATGTTTGAAATAATTTTAAAGCATGAATTTTGGTTTTAAATTTTAAATAATAATGGTTGATGGAAATTATATTAGGAGTGGAAGGAAGTCTTTGTAAATTAAAGGATGATTTATTAAATTTTGTTTACTAATATCTTTATAGGACGTGTGGAAGAAGAAGATCCCGATAGAAATTGAAGAAAGAATATTTTGGAAATTTGAAACTTCAACTAGTAAGTAAATAGCATTTTCTTTAATTTATTTTATTGGAATACACTTTTATTGTAACAATTTACTCTTATGAATTTCATTAGTTTTGGAAATTATGGAGCACTAATGATGGATAATTGGATGATGATATGTGCATTATTTTCTCAAGAAATATATTTTGAAGAGTTATGAAATTATTTTGTTTATTAAACTCAGGAGATGTCTGGCTATTCAATTAACGCAAGCTTGCATAGTTTTTATGACATTATTTTCGACAGGTATTATACTGGAAGTTGAAATGATTCATATGAGTAGATATTAAAAATATAAATTGTATTTCAGAAGTGATTATTTTCTCCCATATTTGAAACATGATTGTAGAGGACTCTAACAGATCACTGCTGCTAATGGCAGTTCCATTAGCCCATAGCGTGCTGTGGTTGAAAACTAGCTAATTTGTCTCGTGGGCTTTATTCTCACATTTGATATTCGTGGGCGGTGTACCCGCATTTGATTCTGTGGCCTGAGCCGCTTTTGGTTAGCTTTACTCTCGTGGACTCTGTCTCCATGTTTGTTTCTTAACTTTGGCTACGTTTGGTTACTTACTCTCATGGACTGTGTGTCCACATTTGTTTTCGTGCCATAAGCCGCTTTTAGTTATTTACCTTCGTGGATTATGTGTCCACCTTGTTACTTGTTCTGTTGAATTATCAAAAATTTTAAATGTTGACTAATATGTGTTTTCGAAATTTACATGATTTTAGTTAGTAATTATATTACTCTGATTTATGTGTGAATAAATTGTTTTCTTTAAGCATGATAAAATAATTTGTTTTCAATTTACTCTCATTGTACGTTTATGGTTATGATTTACAGACTTGTAAGTTTATTATGTTGAATCATTATCTTTTTAATTAGTTTACACTATTATTTGAGTTTGTTAATTTAAATTTTTAAATTCTACTTTGGGAATGCTATTCACTGGAAAACTTATTTTGGCCTCAGATTTGTTAGCTGACGCTAATCCCACCATTGACCTCTAAAAGGTAATATAGTTATATTGGGTGGAAATTTTTATTGGTACTATTACTTTTGATGTAAATATATAAGTCATATGTATTTTTAATTTAAAAGAAAGATTAGTGCTTCACATAGATTGTTGTAAGATTTTATTTTGATCTATACATATATTTTTGCTGGCTAGAAGGAACTAAGCTCCTAATTGATACTGTATTTTGTGAAAAATTTTGTTGTAGAATTTTCGGGAGATCCTATTTATAGGGGAGGTTTTGCTGAAATTTTTACAAAAACATTGAATTTTCTTATAACAACTAATATTAAAAGTGTTATACTTTTCATATAATCTGATTATTTTTTTAGAAAACAGATTGAATTTTCATGTTAAGGCTTACGAGAATTGTAGTTTGCACCTGTGCTGGTCACCCTCTATTTTCAGGGCGTGACACACAGCTTCTTTCTCAGATCATGAATGCCCATAAGTATTTTTGATGTTTTCTCTTTTCTCTTTTCACTTGAATAATGAAGATGGTTGCAACTTAAAATGATTAGCTACAGTTGAAATATAAGTGGCTTAATTTGTGATTTAAATTATATCCACTCTCTAGATTTTGTTGTCTCAATCTGATCTTCATTCTTTGGAGAGGTAATCATAATTGAAAATGGTTTAGGACAGTTAGCATCGTGATTAATTTGTTTAGCATCACGAAGCACAACCTGCAATACTAAATTTTTAGCATGGTGAAATCATATGAAAAACTGCTATTTGAGGGCAGCAAGCCTGCAATGCTTTCAACTATAATAAAAATTGCTTTATTTGATTCCCCTTGCACTTCAAATACACAAAAGTTCAGTTCATTAGGGTGTTATTGCCATCACCATCTATGGTTTCTTTGTAATGCTGATTCTTTATCCTTGCATAAGAGTAACTTTTATTTTTCTGCCTTTGCTGCCCTTACAATTTTATGATAGAGGGATCACTATTGCTATATTTGCTCTATCCATAATTAGTACAAATAGCTCATAACTAACCAAACTCATTTTTACTAAATTGTCAGGGATATTAAACACGACTCATCTATTATTCATTTCATTAACTAATCCTTATGACTTGGCATTACATTTTATATGCAGCAATGAATTTATGCAATAGAGGTTGGTGGCACAGCTACATTGATTTGCTGAAAATTGAAGCTTCAATTTTGATTTCGTGGGTTAGAGTTTTGTTTGAAAAAACGCAAATTATATTTTTGTGAATCATGCATGAATAGGTTCTACTAAAAATATGATTCAGCTGTAAAATTTTATTCTGGACATCAAAATTAAAGAGCAAGCATTGGATTTTATTGTTGAAACTTGTAGGTAGTTTATTAGTTAGTGAATCAAATTGAAGCTATGCATGGTCAAATTTCTTTTGTTAGCAAGCTTTGAATACATGCTTGTGTGGATTGTGGATGATTATGGAGGAATTGGCGATTGGATGCATGTGTTTCTTTTACATAGAGCATTGTACACATTCTTTCTTTTGTTGTGTTGGTGCAAATTATTAATTGTATTCTACATACTTTTAATTTTTGAATTTGCTGAAATTTCTGGGCAGAAGCAGAATTGTTTTTTTTTTAATTACATTCTTACTCTTTATATTGTTCTTTTTGTATTTGCTTGGCTCCTTTCTTTACTTTCCTTTCTTATGTTCAGCCTTAGGTTTTTAATCCAGAATTAGCATTTTAGTACTAGAATGTTGTTGAATGTGGATGCTGAGATTGCTTCATATTTGAAGAATATTATACATTGTTGTCTTTTTCTGATCCCAAAGAACCGTCCACATGTACATCAATTTTAATTTTTTCTGTCTCAGTTTGATTTTTCTTTAATTTCATCAATTTCAAGAATACTGTGAACTGTATGTCATCAATTTTTTTAATGTTTATTTATGAAATTGATTTATTTTAATTTGGATATTTGATGGGTACAATGTGCACCTAAGACAAATTCCTACATTACTTTAGTTTATTATAATTTTTCCCTCTTCTAAATAATTATTTTATTCTTATTTATTGACTTGATATCTTTTTATATTTGTGTGGTTTTAAAGTTATATTATTTTCTAAGAATTTTTATCAATTTGTGAAAGTCATCTATTGATTTGTTATATGATAACGATTTGAAAAATCTCCACAATGCTACGAGGATTTTTCCCCCGTCAACGTGGATGATAATTCTTAATAATCAAATATACTAAATTGATTGCAACTTTATTTCATGGGTGACGATTTTTTTCAACTTTATTGTGTTTAACTTTTATGCATTTTTTAACATTATTATGTTTAACTTTTATTTCAACAATTTTTTTAACACGTTTCTCTAAATGAAAATTGAAGGACATGTTCTTTACAAGTGCTGTATAGAAAATAAACAACTGATGTAGAGGATTATGATTGTGATTACTTGCATCATTTTTCTCAAACTTAATTTTTTATTTTGCCCAAATGAAACTCATGGGGACTGAATTAATGTTTCAGAAGTTTAAAGGGGTTGATTTTAAATAAGTTTGATCAGGGTTTTAATGATTGATTTATAGATATATTTATGCTTTAACATAATTATTTAACACTATGCTAATTAGAATTGATATTGCAATCTAATTTGTTTATTATCCGTGCGTTGCACGGGGTTTGACTCTAGTTTGATATGTAGTTTGTTATTTTATTGGAAGGAAACATTACTATAAAGAATCTTTTACTTTTCTTATGTGGAAACATTTGATGATAAATTGAAAAGGCATTAGAAAAGCGAGGAATGGAGAAGAAAATGCCATGATTCTTGTAGTGTCTTGATCAATTAGTACTATAATACAACGATTGGAGAAGAAAATTTCTATTTAATTTGTCTAAGATTCAAAAAATGTTATATATATATATATATATATTGAATATTAGTTTGTTTTTAATTATAACACTTATCTCTTAAATAACAGATGAAGCATTTACAAGATATTATATTTGGTTAGAAGAAAAAAGAAAAGCAAGAGATTATATACTCCCTCGGGTCCAAAATATAAGCATTTTTTTTTTAGCTAACTTTGGTTCAAAATATAAGCAACCTAATACATGTAAATTTTTTTTATTTTACCCTTTGTATTTATTAATTTAGATATTTGTGGGAGTATATCTCTCACTCATTATGGAATGCTTTGGTAATTGAAACTATGGGTAAAAAGAGAAAAACAATATACATTTTTATAGGAATGAGGACTTTATTGGTATGCAATTTTTTTCTAAAAACTACTTATATTTTGAACTAAAGGGAGTACATAAAAATATTTTTCCGATGATTGTATTTAAAAATACTATTAATTTAAACGATTGTTATTTTTATTTTTAAAATATTTTAGTTTTGAAGAAGAAATTTATATATACGCTTTCATTTTATTTGTGGAGAAAAATTGTGAGATGAAAGTTTTATTATTATTTTAAAGTGAAAAAGGTTTCTTGAAAAGATCTTTGAAAATTAAGAGAGGATAGACCAAGAAACCCCCATCAAATTCGTGTAGTTCACTCATTTTTGTACTATGAGTCTACATATATAGAAAAAGTTTGCCAACTATATTTCTACATTCCAGAATTTATAATCATTTAACATCATCAAGTATAAATAATTATTTTGTGGAAATTCTATGTTAAATTTTTCATTTTTTCCTCCTTCTATTTTATTACTATGTGTTCTTTTAAAATTTGAATAAAATTAAAATTTTTTAGAGACATGAGATAAATTCAAATGATAAATTATAAGAGTGTATGAGGTGAAGTGTGTTAAATGTTTAAATTTTTTTAATGTGAAAAACATTCAAAGTCCTTTTAGTTATTTGAACTTTTTATATATATTTATTTGGCTCATTTTTAATTCAATCAATCTTCTGAGCCAACCAAAATCAAAAGGAATCAATTTGTTAATTTCATGAAATGCAAAAGTGAATCAAATTGACTAGTTCAACTAGTGAACCGACCTCTTTCTCCAAAATACAAAGACTTTAAAATGAACATGATTTGATATATAGTTTGTTATTTTATTCAAAGTATACATACTATAAAGAATCTTTTACTTTTCTTATGTAGAAAAATTTGCTGATAAATTGACAGGGCATTAGGAAAGAAAGGGATGGAGAAAAAAAATCCATGATTCTTGCAGTGTCTTCATCAATTAGCATTATCATACAGTGATTGGAGAAGAAAATTTCCATCTAATTTGTTTGACACTCAAAATGTGTAGTATATCTAAATATATTGAATATTTTTTTACTTGTAATAGTTATCTGTGACATCATGATACATCAAGCATTTGCAGAGATTATATTTGGCCAAGACAAAACAAAAGCAAGTAATAGATTATCAACGTAAAAATATTTTTGAGCCAACCTAGTCAACTTGAGATTGACCCGCCGTAACCAGACTAACCCAATGGGTTTACGGGTTGGTTAGATTATTTTTTTCCGTGAAAAATCTAAAATGTCGTTATTTTGGATTTAAAAAAAATTCAGAAATGAGAAATTAGAAAAAAAAACTACCTGTACAAAAAATAATAAAAAACTTAATTTTTAACCAACTAAAAGTTATTAATGATTAGATATGTCTAATTACTAATCCTTCTAGACTAAAATAATTGCAAAAAAAAAAAAATAGTGGGCACTATTATTCAATATTAGCGAAGTCTCACACTAAAATGACTGCTCCTGTACATTCCAAAATTTCTCTTGAAGATCAGTATTGTTTGTATTGAAAGTTGAATGTAAACATTTATTTGGTTTTGTTGAGAAAATAAAATGATAAGATTGTTCTAAAACTTTATTATAAAAGTTTAATGGCTAAAATATATCTTTAGTTCTTTAAATTTACGCGAGATTTTATTAATTTTTTAAAGCATTTCTTATCCTTTAATCTTAACACTATTAGTTTTATTGTAAAAAAATTTTTACATTAAACTTTTAAATATTGATAAAATATTTTCAAATGTCAACATCTTAAATTTAATTTTTTAAATATTAATGATTAGCACAAAAAATAATCATTTAAAACTAATAATCTTAGAGTTAGAAAAATGAAAAGATATTTTATAAAATTAAGCAGTAAAATTAAAACCTCATATAAAATTACCATTTAGCCAAGTTTAGTTATTAATTTAAACTTTAATAGATACTTGTCTCCGAAATGTCTGTTGTACTTTATGTTAATTTTTTATTTTAATTTTAGAAATTTAACATAATGGGTATAATATAGTTCTTATATAATAATTTTAAAATATTTATTTAAATATGATACATAATTTATTTTGATTCATTAAATTTGGTAGGGACAGATGGAGTAAATAATTATATTATGAAAGTAAATTAAACTTTGAAATTTTTTAACATATATAAAATTCAATGCATAAAAAGTATTTTATAATTTTTACCAAATTATTATCAAAAATGTTAAGAAATAGATTAAAATTAAGGTTGTGAAAACGCACTGAAGATTTTGTAAATTTAATTATAAAAATCGAATGGAGATAAAGTGTTTTACTAAAAAAAATTGATATTAACAGTTACACGTTCAGTTGATGACAAATAGAAAAGAAGACTTATAAAAGGTGATGAAGATTTTAAAATCGTTTTTATTTTTATTTTTATTCAAAGTAAACATTACCATAAAGAATCTTTTACTTTTCTTATGTGGAGAATTTTCTCATAAATTGAAAAGGCCATAGGAAAGAGAGGAATGGATAAGAAAATTCCATGATTGTTGTAGTGTCTTCATCTATTGCTATTATCATACAGTGATTGGAGAAGAAAATTTCAATTCTATAATAGTCTTTTATACATGTATAGACCATCTATTTCAGTAGTTTAAAGATATTATTGTCATAATATCTATTTATTTTTAATAAGATAATATTATAGTTATTCTTAAAACATTAATGTCATTTGATTTTGCTTTCATTTTATATTTAATGAAAGAAATTATAAAAATTATTACTAACAAGTTTTGTAAAGCATTGCCACAAAAATCTCAAGATATATTGAATGCTATGTGCTTAATATCTATCATAAAATTATTTATTCAAAAGTTAAGAGGTTATGGTTAAGATAAGTTCTTCTTTAAAAAATCACTCTTTTCTATAATAACCAAGCTATTAAAATTGATTATATGAATAGTTTTTACTATGATATACTTAGATCTCATCTACATAAAGAATTTGTGATAACTGAGCATCATTACCATGTTGATATATTTATTCATTATAATTATCTAATTGAAAGAATTAAATAGTAAATTCAATAAGCAAATAATAGAGTTTTTTAGATTGACTAGAACTTTAAATTTCAAGGATACATTTATATTATCCAATACCTATGGGGAAGATGAAGTTTTTGCCAATTTAATGATAGTTTATATTGAGAAAGAAATTTCAAAAAAATTTATTATAAACATGATAATTAATTATTCTTACACTATAAAAAATTAATGAGCACAATTTAAAATATATATATATA